GGAGGGAGGCGGGGCCTGGGTGGAGGGAGGCGGGGCCTGGGTGGAGGGAGGCGGGGCCTGGGTGGAGGGAGGCGGGGCCTGGGTGGAGGAGGGAGGCGGGGCTTGGCGGCAGGGGCGGGGCCAGGCTCACCAGGGCGGGATCCGCGCCGGGTTGTCCAGCTGCTTGAGGTTGAAGGCGTGCTTGGACACCTGCCGGACCTCCCCGTCCCAGGCCTGGACCTCCTGCTTGCGCGACGCCGAGTCGGCGGACAGCAGCGCCTCCACCGCGCTGGTCACCTGCGGGGCGCGGGACGCGAGCGTCAGCCAGGCCGGGCTCCATCGTGTGGGCAGCGCAGGAGGATCGGGGCCGGGGGCCGGGGCTGGGGCCGGGGCTGGGGCCGGGGGCCTAGAGGTCTGCGGATGGTGGTTCGAAGCCCCCCCATCCCCCCAGGAAAGTCTGGGAGACCCCTAGCGCCATTAGCCAGCAAAAGAGCGGAAGTGGGGCTCTGGTTCAAGTGGCTGCGCATCACACACACACACACACAACCCAACAGCAGACAACAGCGCAGGGCGGCGTGGAGGCCCCGAGTTCCAGCCCCGGCACGCTGCAGGGATGGGGGGACGCCGGTACCCGGTCGCGGACGATGTCCGGGAGGCCGCCCAGCCCGTCGCGGGCGATCTCCAGGTAATCCGGCAAAATGACAATCTTCACGTCCTCGTCGTATTCAAACCTCTCATCGGAGAGGTCGAACCCGCCTTCAACGCCTGGGGGGAGGGAGGGAGGAGTCGGCAGACCCGGCGGGTCTGTGTCTCTCACCAGACAGCACCCCCCCCCCCCCCCCCCCCCCCCCCCCCCCACTGATCCAATCCAGGGCTTCCGCAGCGAGCAGGCCAGGCCAGCCCAGCTCACGGAGACTTCACGGGGCTCACCAATAGCCAGCCGGGTGGGCTTCTTCCGGGGTGGGTCGCCAGTGCCGGAAGTGTTCTCCTCTTCTTTCTGCAATGGACAGAAGGGCAGGGTTGAAAGAGGGAGACAGAGTGGGTGGGCACAGCTGAAAGTCTGAAGGACACAAAATATTGGGTGAAAGAGCGGGGCACCAGTGCCTCACATCTGGCATCCTAGCTGCTCAGGGGGCTGAGCTCTGAGGATCATGGTTCAAAGCCAGCCTGGGCAGAAAAGTCTGTGAGATTCTGATCTCCAATGAACCAGCAAAAAAGCCGGAAGTGGGACTGTGGCTCACGTGGTTGGAACAGCGTCAGCTATTACCAACCAGCTCAAGGACAATGACTGGACATTGAGTTCAAGCCCCAGAACTGTCACAGAGAGAGAGACAGAGACAGAGAGAGAGAGAGAAGAGCTGGGCATCAGCAGTTCATTTCAGTCATCCTGGCTACTCAAGAGGCTGAGATCTGAAGATCGCGGTTCAAAACCAGGCCAGGCAGGAAAGTTCATGAGACTCTTCTCTCCAATAAACAACTCCAGAAAAGGTGGAAGTGGCGCTGTGGCTCAAGTGGTAGAGCGCCAGCCTTAAGCACAAAGCAGCTCAGGGACAGCGCCCAGGCCCTGAGTTCAAGGCCCAGGACCAGAAAAAGAAAAAAGATACCAATGGACAGTCAGACTCAAAATGAGCATCCTACCGCACGCCGGGTCCGCCGGAGGTGCAGATACACGCGCTGCCCCGTCTTGTTGAAATGTCTCTCCACATACTGCTTGCCGAAGCCCAGGAACGTGTTCATGCAGATATAGAGACCGCCATCGGACTCCTGGAGTGCAAGAAAGAAGGGAGGGAAGAGGAGGAGGGGATGAAATGCAGCCCAGTGGGGAAATGAACAACCTGGAATCAGACTGGTTCTCCAAAAGAACATTCATGATCTCCAATGCAGCCTGGCCCTGGCTGAATTTATTTAGCCTTTGGGGACCTGCTTCAGGGAAGGCTGACGTTCTCTCCCATTTCCCGAAGACCCTGAGAACATCTTCCCAGAACATGCTTCTTCCTTCTCGAGGAAGACTTTAGAGGCCACCAATACACAGGGGGCAAAAGATCCCAGAAAGTAAAATGGAGACAAAATACTGTACCCTTCCAGTATCATGAAGATAAGACCTGAAAGTCACATAACTCCTCCCAAATCAGTGACACCTAAGACAAATCCTATCTGATCTCTAGAATTCCGAAAGCCTGCCACGCTACTGAGGAGGCTGACAAATGAGGATCGCAGTTTGAGGCCAGCCGGGGCAAGAAAGTGTGAGACTTTTCTCCCGTGACCCACCAAAAAGCCAGACATGGAGTTGTGGCTCCAGTGCCAGCCTTCAGGGGGAAAAAAAAAAAAACACTCAGGCCCTGAGTTCAAGCCCCAGGACTGGTGCATGTATACACACACACACACTTAAAAAAAAAACTTTCCAGATGAGAGGTATCTGCACTACACTGGAAAACCATACATGTAAGCTGAGATGTCAACAGTCCAGATCTTTCCTTCACTACACCTGTAGGAGAGAACTGAGCCTTGGTCCACAGACTCCTGTCTCCTTCTCTCCACCCCGCCCCTCCTCTCCTGCTGCGTCTGGCTCTAAGAAGCAACCTTGTTTGGGGCTCACAGATAAACCTGAACTTGCTCTGATAAAGTCATGAAGTTCAGCATTGTGATTGTGTGTATGTGATTGTGTGTGTGTGTGAGAGAGTACTGGTCTTGAACTCAGGCTCTTGTGCTCTTGCTTGGTTTTTTCGATCACAGCTGGCGCTCTACTACTTGAGCCTTACCTCCAGCTCTAGCTTTGTGATGGTTAATTGAAGGTAAGAGTCTCCCGTCTCTGTGTGGGCTGGCTTTGAATTGAAATCCTCAGATCTCAGCCTCCTAAGTAACTCGGATTTACAGGACTGAGCCATAAACATCTAGCTACGGTCAGATTTTTTTCTTTCTGATCTTGGGGCTTGAACCCCATCTCTAAGAGCCTCTGTGCTCAAGGCTGGCACTCTACCACTTGAGCCACAGCTCTACTTCCAGCTTTTTGTGGTTAACTGGAGATCAGTCTCTGACAGATCTTCCTGCCCAGGAATGACTTGAACCACCATCCTCAGATCTCAGCCTCCTGAGTATGGCCAGGATTACAGGTGTGAGCTATCAGCGCCTGGCAAATCCAGCATTTTAAACCCACCAGTAACCCATCAGCCGCTCCGCTCACTGAAATTTCACCTACCTTAAAAGCGATGACTTTTTAGAACAATCTGGCAAACATTTGCTGAGATGGCTGGCCCACATACAATCCAAGAACAGGGAAAGGTCAGCGCCCACCAGGAATCAGCTCAAGAAGAGAAAATGGACCCTCTCCAAAGCTGCCCTGGACCTGGACCTTTGTCACAGAGTCAGGACCGTGGGACAGGGAATTGGTGACAGTAAGACTGGCCTGACATCCATGGCTTTGAGCAACAGGCATCCTCTTCCTGGAATCAAAGCCTTAGTGGCCTTGAAATTCTCTCTGCTGTGATATTAAAAATAGAGCATTGTGCAAAGCACTTCTTGGCCGGATCGATCTTTCTGAGCCCCTCCCTGCCGCTGCATCGCTCATGAACAAGCAGAGCAGTTGGGACCAGGAGGTCAGCTAACCTCTTCTTCCCATGAACTGCATTTGAAGATAATCAGATATGCAGGGGGGGGGGGGAGGGCTGTCCCAAAGCAACTAGGCCATCAAAAAAGACAAAGTCTCTGAAAGTTGCAAAACTGCTTTTTGGCCAGAAGCCTGTGGCTTACTCTGGTCACCTTAGCTATTCAAGAGGCTGCCATCTGAGGATCAAGATTTCAAAACCAGCCCAAGGCAGGAAAGTCTGTGACAAAAAATCTTATCTCTTGACTAGCCAGCAAAAAGCCAGAAGTCTGGGGGTGGCTCAAGTGGGAGAGCACCAACCTTGAGTGAAAAAGCTCAGGGGAGTGTACTGGAGGTGCTGAGCTCAATGACCTGTGTTGGCATACACAAAAACCAATCTTTTTTTTTTATTTAAAGCTGTTATTAACGGGGGCAGGGGGGAGTAAGTGGACATAGAAAAACCCACTTGTGCAGTGTTGCTTGGTGGTTGACACCTGTAATCCTACCTACTCAGGAGGCTGAGATCTGAGGACCACAGTTTGAAGTCCGCTCCAGGCAGAGGAGTCCTTAAAAGTCCAATTCACCAGCGAAAAGCGGGTGTAAAGGTGTGACTCAAGTGCTGGAGCATCAGCCTTGAGCAGAAAAAGCCAAGGGGGCAGGATGAAGCTCAGATTTCAAGCCCCAGGCCTTGCAAGAAAAGAAAACAACACCCACCTACTTCTACCCTCTACTAATCATGAAGGAAAACCTTGCCCTCCAGAGAGGCAGGGGGGGCAGCGATTAAACTCTTAGATATTGAGTTTCATCAAGGATCTGAAACCTTGGAGGCACAGGTCCTCTTTTACCTCTGCCCAAAACAAAACAACAACCACACACACACACACACAAAAAAAACACCACACCAGCACACTGTCTGCATCTCTGGGATGGAAGGCCAGCAAACCACAAAATGACAATGATAGTCCTGAATCCGGGCCCCACACCAGGCTGCTAACCTCGGCCTGGGGTGATGCATTCATGAAGACTTTCCACTCTGACTTGCAGTTTTCAGGCGGTGGTGGTGAGCTTGAGTCTGGCTTGAGCACCCGGGGCAGGGCCCAGGCTGGAGGGGAGGGGTGGGGAGGGGGGCGGGTCCCGATCCAGCCCTCTCAGGGCAGGCCTGGGGAGACGGGACTCCTGTTTGGGGGGGAGGGGAGGGGGGGGAATGGGAAGCAGGGCTGCGGGGAGGGAGGTGCATGTAGCAGGGAGTGGGCGGTGGCTTTTGTCTCAGACAAGAGTGGGAGCCGGCTGGGAAAAGGGCGGCTCAGCATCCTCAAAAATCAAATCAAATCTCTCTAGCAATACTTCCAAAGGGGGAACCCCCCCCCACACACCCCACCCCGGTCACCTTGATGGACGCGAAGGGGAAAGGAGGAGACGAGTGCACACTCACAATCCACTTCAGAGGGGAAATGACCCCTCCCTAGCACGGACGACCCACCTCCCCGCCCCCCCACCCCCACCCCCGGGCCCTCGAACTCCATCTTTCTCCCATCCAGTCTCGTTCTCAGCCCACTTCCAGACTAGGAGCTGCAGCCCCCGTTCCGTCATTCCTCCCTACCCCCAGCCCCGGCCCCGAACAGAGGGGAGTCGCCCCCTTTCCATCCACGCCAGACTACAAACCCCGGGGAGCCGTGCGCGGCGGGCAAAGCCAGCTCCCAGGTTTTTGCAGGGGGTCCCCCTGGGGGATGTAGTTCGCCGGCTGAGCGGCAAACCCTAACTTAGAACGGCACCGAGGGCAGAGGGGGACTACAATCCCCACAATGCGCCGCGACATTCGAGCGGGCGCGGCAGGGCGCGGAGGCCTCCGGGAGAGCAAGTCTCACGCCACGTCCGGGCTAATGAAAAGCAACGGAGCCAAGGAGCGTGCGAGACTACAAGTCCCACGATGCATCGCGGGGAGGCGGTGGCCCAAGCCTTGCAGGCCCCGGCAGAATGACCAGGGCGATGGAAGGAAGTCGTGGTCGCCGCGAGCATGGGGAAAGGGCTTACCGGCGTATCGAAGGAAAAGGCGCACTCGTCTTTGTGGACCCGGTCTCCAGCCTTGGGGACCCGGATCGTCGGCAATACTGACAGCAGCGCCTCCTCACTCAGCTCCGCCATGACACCGGCAGCAGCTTCTCCACACACACGGCGGCTCCCACCGTTCCCAGTCCCCCTCCCACCCCTGCTCTCCCGTCCAATCAGGGCTGCTCGCTCGGCGCGTGCGCTCAAGGCAAGACGCGCGAGAACGGCGGTTGACGTAGCCTGCTGACCGGCGCCCCGCCTCCTGCCCTACTCTTGGTTACCACCAATCAAGAGCGCTGCTTGTGTAAGTGACGGTCGTAAGGACCAATCAGGCGCTTCCGAGGCCAGCGTGCGAGTTGCCAGGTGGGGTCGGAGTTGCGGGAGCTGGGGACCCCGCCACGCCCCCAGCCCCGCCCCCCCGCGCAGTCCCTTCACGTGACTGCTGTTTAAACCCTCTGGGTTCTCGAAACTTTCCTGGTGACTCGACCCATTGGATTAAAAATAAACAAAAAGACCCATTTTCTGGGTATGTGAAAAGGCGCCCTCCGACGGGGCGGGGCTTGAGGGGTGTTTGGGTGATGGACAACCCCGTCAACGAATCGGGATTAAGATCTCTCCCTGCGGGAAAGCCGTCGGAACTGCCGTCTCCGGCCGCAGGTGTGCGCGGCGGCGGTAATGATTCACAGTGGCGGTGTCTCCCGAAGCCTCACGCACTCACGCACGCAGCGCGAACGAAAGTCCTCCGCGTCTCCCGGAGGGACGCGGCGGCGTCCCGCGAGCCGCGCTCGACACGCCCCCCGTCCGCCCCTGATTGACGTCCTCCCAGTCCAATGACTTCCGGCGTGGGGGAGGCGGGTCTTCCTCCACGGACCTATGAGCGCTGGCGTCGGGTCAGCCAATAAGACGAGGGCAGGGGGCGTGGCGGGAAGTTTGAAACTCGGACTCCGGGAGTTGAGGCTCGAGCTCGGGGGCATCTCAGGGGGGTCCCCCGGTAAGTGACTGGGGTGAGTGAATGGGAAAGGGAGGGAGCCCCGCAGGCCCCGCAGGCCCCGCAGGCCCCGCAGGCCCCGCAGGGGAGATCGTGTTGGAGATCGTCGCGAGTCGTTCGCGGCGGGGGAGGCCGGTGACGGGCGTCTCCCGTGTCGCTTCCCACAGGGTGGCCAGCGTCGACCCGCGTCGGGCCTCGGCCCTGCCCCGCTGCTCGCGGACATGGGCTCAGCCAAGAGCGTCCCGGCGACTCCGGCGCGGCCTCCGCCCGTCAACAAGCACCTGGCCCAAGTGGCGGACCCTCGATCGCCCAGCGCCGGCATCCAGCGCACGCCCATCCAGGTGCCCCGCCGCAGGAGGCTGCCTGCGATCTTGGGTTTTGGGCTGGAACACGTCTCTGTGTGTGTGTGTGTCCGGATTTGAACTCAGGGCCTGGGCTCTTTGTGCTCAAGGCTTTAGGGCTCTACCACTTGGAGCCACAGCTCCACTTCCGGTTTTCTGGAAGTTCCCTGGAGATCAGGCTCATGGCTACCCAGGCTGGCTTTGAACTGGGCTCCTCAGATCTCAGCCTCCCGAGTTGCTAGGATGCCCGGCGGGAGCCACCTGTGTCCAGCTTTAAAGCTTTCCTTGTGACTCGGGGTGGGCGCTCTACCACTTGAGCCACAGCTCCACCTCGAGCTTTTTGCCGGCTCCTTGGAGCTAGCCTTTTGGCTTTGTCTGCTCAGGATGGCTTTGAAGTAGGATCTTCTGATCTCACCCTCCTGGGTGTAGCTAGGATGACAGGTGTGAGCCACTGGGCCTGGGTGGATATTAGAGCATGAGTTGGAACACACACACATACACACACAGAGCCTTATTTTCTGCCTGGGATTGGCTGAATGTGGGAGGAGCCTGAGGAGGTCCCAGGGGACGAGGGGTGGGGGCACACCTACTCTGGCTTTGTGTGATCCTGGCAGGTGGAAAGCTCCCCACAGCCAAGCACACCATCGGGAGAGCAGCTGGTGAGCCCCAAGCAAGCTCAGGACCCTGATCCCCGCTCTCCCACCCTGGGCATCGCACGGACACCTATGAAGACCAGCAGTGTAGGTAAGGGCGGGGCCAAGGGATGCTCAGGAGACTGGCTCCTACATACTGTGTGTGTGTGTGTGTGTGTGTGTGTGTGTGTGTGTGTGTGTGTGTGTGTGTGTGTGTGTGTGTGTGTACACCAGTACTGGGGCTTGAACTCAAGATCTGTGCACTGTCCCTTAGCTCCCTTGCTCAAGGCGGGAGCTCTACCACTTGAGCCACAGCGCCACTTCGGGTTTTCTGGTGGTTCATGGGAGATCAGAGTCTCTCAGACTTTCCTGCCCAGGCTGGCTTTGAACCACGATCCTCAGATCGCCCAGGTTCTGAGTTCAAGTCCCACCACTCATCAAAAAAATACAAAAAATGAAAGTCACTGATCACGCCTCTCTTCTCCTCTAGACCCTGAGAGTCCAGTGATGAAGCAGCTGAGCGACATCTTTGAGACTGAAGCCTCCACTCCCCAGCCTCTGCCACAGCCTCCGTCCTCTGAAGTGGACTCACCTGGAGATGCTCAGCTAGCTCTAGCCGACCAAATGGGCTCTTGCAACCCACCCGAGCACTCCTCCAAACAGGACTTTCCCAAGGAGGAGAAGAAACAGCCCGCAGCAGCACCTGCGGCCAGCCAGAGCTCGGAGAAGCCAGCCAGAGACCACGAGACGGCCCAGAATTCAGGTTCAAGATCTAGAGGGATGACTAGGGATGCTGTTTGTGGCTGAGAATGAGAGGAATAAATAGGCAGCCCCTAAGTTTTTCAGTGTCAGTACAGGGGCTTGAACTCACAGCCTGGGTGCTGTCTCTGAGCGTTTTTCTTTACTTCTGCTCAACCACTTTGAGCCACACCTCTACTTCCAGCTGTTTCTGGTGGTTCATTGGAGATCAGAGTCTCTCAGAGTTTTCCTGCCCAGGCTGACTGAGAACCTCGATCCTCAGATCTCAGCCCCCTGAGTAGCTGGGATTATAGGCGTGCACTCTGGCACCTGGCTATCCACCCTCAATTTTGAATCTTTTCTTTAAACCCTTCCCTATTCTAGGTTCTAAGCGCAGTAGACGGAGGCCAAACAAGAAGGTTCTGGGGAGATCTCCCTTGACCGTCCTGCGGGATGACAACTCCCCCGGGACCCTGGCATCATCGAGACAGGTAAAGGAAGAGATGGGGGAAGCTTCTAGTAAGATACTGAACTGGTGGCGGGGAGGGGGCGCGGGGAGCTTTTGTTGTTGCCAATCCTGGGGCTTGAACCCCCAGCCTGGGCGCTGTCTCTTGAGCTTCTTTTGCTCAAGGCTGGCGCTCTACCACTTGAGCCACAGCTCCACTTCTGGCTTTGGGTGATTCATTGGAGACAAAGAACCTCATAGGTTTTCCCGCCCTCGATCCTCAGCTCTCAGCCTCCTGAGTAGCTGGGATTACAGGTGTGAGCTACAGGTGTGGGCCACCGGTGCCAGCCTTCATCTACTACCTTTTGCAGGGTAAACGCCCTTCTCCCCTAAGTGAGAATGTGAAGGATCTAAAGGAAGCGGCCATTTTGGGAACTAACGGAACCGGACGAGGATTGAAAAGCGGAGGGCGTGCATGGGAACAAAGCCAAGAGCATGAGAAGGAAAATCAGCATTTTGCTTTGGTGGAGAGCTAGGCCCGGCCTAGCACCTGGGCTGGGTTTGCCTAGGATCTGGTGATTTTTTTTTTTCTGGATCATTTTTTCCTTTCTTTGCTGGACGGCCTGAGGAAAGGCTGGGTTTTCATTCCTCCTCCACGACCTGCGCTGGGACTTGGCGTTTTATTGACTTGTTTTTCTTGTATATTAAAGGAAGTGATTTATTTTACATTTGATTTTAATTGTTTGGGTGCGCTGGGACTTGAACGAAGGGCCTAGGGCTTGTAGGGCACTTGAGCCGCACACCCACACTCAACCTAAAAGAAGCCATTTAAAATGATGCTTTAATAAAATCGACCTGGGGCTCAGAAGGAGGCTCGGTGGTAGAGTGCTCGCCTCGCATGCATGAGGCCCTGGGTTCGATTCCTCAGCACCACATCCACAGAAAAAGCCGGAAGTGGCGCTGTGGCTGAAGTGGTAGAGCGCCAGCCTTGAGCTGAAGAGCTGAGGGACAGCGCCCAGGCCCTGAGTTCAAGCCCCAGGACCCATTAAAAAAAAAAAAGAACCTCAAGGACTTTCCTGCCCACGCTGGCTTTGAACTGTGATCCTCAGATCTCAGCCTCCTGAGTAGCTGGGATTATAGGCATGCGCTACCATCCCCTGGCTTGAATACACTTTTGACCCAGCTCTGCTCAGCCTCCTTTCTCAGGCCTCCTTCCTTCCTCATTCTCTCTGCCACAGCCCCCCTCCCTTGCACACAACACCTTCTAGGGTTTCGGGGGGGGGGCAGGAAACAGAAGCCAAATGTCAGAAATCTCAGTGTATGCTACATTTTATTGGCCGGTGCTTCTGGAAAGAAAGGACCAAAAAAAAAAAAAGTTGGAAAAAGGAGGATCAAGATCCTAGCGCTGACTCAAGTCCTATTCATGAGTCTAGACAGAGGCCGTGACTCAGGGAACATTCTAGATTCTTAGGGGCCGGGAACTTCACCCGCAGAGCCCTGGGAGAGCGGCATTGTCCTGCCACTTGATGGGAGAGCCTGGGAGGCCAGTGGAGAGGAGGCCCGGGGACCAGAGGCCGAGGAGGAAATAGGCCAAGATGGTTTCTTACTGTCCTTCCCCCAGAGAAAGCAGCTTGGTGGATTTCCGCCCCCTGCCGCACAGAAATCCCAAAGAGATGGCGTCCCGGCCTTTAATCTCTTTCCTCCCAGCCTCCTCAGTTCCAGATTTTGAGGAAGCTGTCCCAGGACCCGGTGGCCACAGCCATCCCGTCGGCTGTGACCCCCAGACAGCTGACTCTGTTGTCATGGCCGGAGAGGACGCCTGAGGAGGGAAAGATGGCAGCAGCTGGAGTGTGGGGCTGGGCTGGTGGCCCTCGGCACCCAGAGGCCCCTGAGGGTCTGAAAAAAGGGTCAGCCACAAGAGAAGGGACTTCTCTTTGAAGCCGATTTGGCCGTGTAAGACATGGGTTAGTCCCGTGGCTCCTGCCTGTAATCCCAGCTACCCAGGAGGCTGAGATGTGAGGATCAAGATTCCAAGCCAAGTCCTGTGAGACAAAAAGAGTCTGGTTTCCCACGGTGTCCTGCTCGAACTGGCTCTCAGCCTCCTGAGTAGCTGGGATTACAGGTGGAGCAGCAGTGCCCGGTAGAAAGCTCTCCTTGAGTCTGCTCAGTACCCCAGCATCCTGAGGCATCTGGTATAATCCGAGCAAGGTCCACAGATCTGGCGGTGACGCCAGAATCAGGGGTAACCCAAGGCTCCTAGAAAGCCTGCTTTGAGCTCCGGGGGTGATGTCTGAGAATGCTGTGTCTGGAGATGGAGTTCATCTAGTAATTAACGACCAGCGAAGCCAGGCACCTGTGCACACGCCTGTAATCCCAGCTACTCAGGAGGATCGTGGCTCACAGACAGTGCAGGCAGGAAAGTCCGTGAGACTCTCTTCCATTGAACCAGCAAAAGGTGGAAGTGGCGCTGTGGCTCAAGTGGTAGAGCGCCAGCCTTGAGCAGAAAAGCTCAGGGACAGCACCCAGGCCCTGAGTTCAAACCTCAGGGCTGGCACCAAAAAAAGCAATGACAGGGTTCCCCTAAATCAAAGGAGGGGAGACTGGGCGGGGAGGGAGGGGGCCTTACCCACGCGCTCACACTTCATGGAGTCCCACACGTTGCAATTGAAGTCATCATAGCCCGCAAAGAGCAGGCGACCGCTCAGCGAGAAGGCCACGGACGTGATCCCGCAGATGATGCTCTCGTGGGCGTACGTGGTTAGCTCCTGGTCAGCGCGCAGGTCGAACAGACGGCAGGAAGCGTCGTCGGAGCCCGTGCAGATGGCCTCTCCGTTGGGGAAGAACTGAGGCCCGGAGGGGAGGATCAGGGCTGAAGGCTGGAGTCCCAATTCCTCTCCCTGGCCAGTCTCTTCTGTGTGTGTGTGTGTGTGCGCGTGCGCGTGGGGCTTGAACTCAAGGCCTGGGCACTGTCTCTTAGCTGTTGTACTCCAGGCTGGTGCTCTACCATTTGAACCACGTCTCCACTTCCAGCTTTTTGGCGACTCATTGGAGATTCAGTCTCAGGGACTTGTCTACCCCGGCTGGCTTCCTATCAGAATCCTCAGATCTCAGCTTCCTGAGTGGCTGGGATTACAGGCGTGCCCACCAAAGCCTACCCTCAAGCGTGGGTAACAATCATCTCGGCCAAGTTGCCAGGTGGGGTACCAGGGTTGCCCCAGAGCCCTATGAGACAGAAGTATCTAGAATCCTGGTAACTTCTGGGGCAAGCCCCAAAGTGATCCAAGTGGCCTTACAAGGAATATCAGCTATGGGGGAAAATGGGTGTGAATTTGGGTGTTGGTGGTCACACCTGTAATCCCAGCTACTCAGGAGGCTGAGATTTGAGGATTATGGCTCAAAGCCAGTGTGGGCAGGAAAGTCTGAGACTCTTATCACAGACCAGCAAAAGTCAGAAGGGGAGCTGTGGCTCAAGTGGTAGAGCACCATCCTTGAGCAAATAAAAGCTCAGGCACAGTGCCCAGGCCCTGAGTTCAAGTCCCAGGACCAGCATGGGGGAAAAAAAACCACACACACACACACAGACAAGAAAAAGCTCAATTGGGCACCAATGGCTCTTCTCAGGATCACAGTTTGAAGTCAGCCTGGACAGGAAAGACCATGTGACGCTTGTCTCCAATGAACCACCAAAAACCTGCAAGTGGAGCTGTGGCTCTAGTGGTAGAGCGCCCGCCTTGAGCAAACAGAGTCACAGCATGCACACACCGAGTTTAAGGCCCAGGAACCCCCCTTCCACACACACAGAACGTACTCTAAAATCCTTAACTCCCCAGCCAGGCACCGGCGGCTCCCGCCTGTCATCCAAGCTACTCAGGAGGCTGAGCTCTGAGGATCGTGGTTTGAGGCCAGTCTCAGGGACTTTCCTGCCTGGGCTGGCTTTGAACCACAATCCTCAGAGCTCAGCCTCCTGAGTGGCTGGGATGACAGGCCTGGCTTACGAGACTAAGGAACAGTGCCTGGGCCCTGAGTTCGAGTCCGTGGGAGGGTGTGTGGGGTTTGGGGGTGGCACTCACACAGATGGCGTTGATGTCCGACTCGTGGCCGGTGAAGGTCTGGCGACATGTCCCCTCGCGCACGTCCCACAGTTTGGCGGTGGCGTCGCAGGCCCCCGAAATGAAGAGCTTGTAGTCGGGGGACACGGCCAGACTCATGCAGTCCCCCGTGTGCCCCACAAACACGGTCTTCTGCTGTCCCGTCTCGATGTCCCAGAGGGCGCTGCGGGCGGGGAGGAAGGCGGTGAGGAGAACGACCCCACGGGCCTGGCTCGGGGTGTCACTTCCCAGCCCTGGCACCCCAACTTTCAACCCTTACCACGTTGTGTCTCCTGAGCTGGTCACGATGTTATTGTCATCCAAGAAGCGGCAGCAAGACAGATAACCTAAAGGACAGTGTCTCTGCGTGAGGACACAGGGTTTCTTTATTTGTCCCCCTCCTAGGATTTGAACTCAGGACCTGGGATGCTGAACTTGAGCTTTTTTTTTTTTTTTCAAGGTTGGCGCTTTACCACTTGAGCCACGGCTCCACGTCTGGCTTTTTCTTTTGCTGGCTCATGGGAGATTAAGAGTCTCACAATCCCTTCCAGGCCGAGGGCCTGGCTTCACATCACGATCCTCAGATCCTATGGCCCCCCGGAGTGGCTGGGATTACAGGTGGCTGGGATTACAGGCGGGTGGCGCGGTGCTCTTACCGGTGTGAGCCGAGAGCTCCCGGCTGACCTTGACATTCCCCTCTCGGGATTTGAGGTTATAGATGGAGCACATGTTGTCCAGCCCGCCGCAGGCCACGAAGTTCCCGGATGGAGCGTACGCACAGGTCATTACCCAGGAGGAGCGCAGTGGGATGGCGTGAACCTGCAGAGGGGAACGTGAGCTAGCTCCAGGGTGGACCGGCAGGGGTTGGGCATTGGGGGGGGATGGTATGACAGGATGGGGGGGACAGGGTTGGCACCTTGTTGGTGGTATACGTGTCCCACACAATCAATTTCCCGTCCTGCGACGCGCTTACGAGCAGCCTGGGGAGAGAGCACCCCCAGTCACGCCCCCCCCCCCCCCCCCCCCACACTCCCCCTCCCTTCTAGAACCTTCTCCGGCCTCACTTGGAGTCGGTGGCCCAGTGCATGGCATAGATCTTGGCCAGGTGACCCCTGAGCGTCCGCCGGGTCCGCATCTGGATGCGGCTCACGACCTCAAGGCCAGACACCAGCTGCAGAGAAAGTGGGGTGTCACAGGCCGGGGGGGGGCCCGGACGCCAGGATGAGACCCCCCCCACCCTCCTGGTAGGACTTGGATGGCTGGTTCGCTGGTGACAGATTGCACCATGGGACAAATAAAGGCTCCCATCCTCGCTCAAGGTCAGCCTGCCCTTGAACTTGAGGAGAAAGGCGCATGCGTGGCCTGCTCAGGCCACAGGGGCTTGCTTTTTCTTCTCTGTCTCTTTGTGCCAGTCTGGGGCTTGAACTCAGGGCCTGGGCGCTGTCCCTCAGCTCTTCAACTCAAGGTAGGCGCTCTACCACTTGAGCCACAGCGCCACTTCTGGCTTTTTCTGCTTCTGTGGTGCTGAGGAATCGAACCCAGGGCCTCATGCATGCGAGGCAAGCGCTCTACCACTGAGCCACCTGCCCAGCCCCACTTGATTTGTTATCTTGAGTAAATTATTCATCTCTAAGTCCAACTCCTCCAGGTGAGCCATGAACTTTATCACAGATCGATGGTTGTCTGAACATTATCGATATAGTTGCATAAAACTATATAGTAGACTTATATACATGTGAGAATTAAATTATACAAATCACTTCTACTATTTCAACTATAGGAATGTTGCTATATATATTTTTCCCCTGACCAGGCCCAGGAATCGAACTGAAGACCTCACACTCGGTCAGCTTACCTTGCTCTGCTGGCACTCTACCACTTGAACCACGCTCCATTCCCAGCTTTGTGCTGGCAAATTGGGAGATGGAGTCTTGAGGACTTTCCTACCCAGAGCTGGCTTCAAACCCCAATCTTGATCTTATCCTCTTGAGTAGCTGGGATTAAAGGCATGAGCCACTGGCACCTGGCTGTTTCATGAACTTAACTTTTGTGTGTGTGTGTGTGTGTGTGTGTGTGTCAGTACTGGGGCTTGAACTCAGGTTTTTAAACTGTTGTTTGGCTTTTTAAAAAATTAAGGCTGTTGCTCTACTGCTTGAGCTACACTTCCAGTTCTGGCTTTTTGCTGGTTCATTGGGGATCAGAGTCTCCTGGACTTTCCTGCCTGGTCTGGCTTTGAATCATGATCCTCAGATCTCAGCCTCCTGAGTAGCTGGGATGACAGGTCCGAGCTGTCACCCAGTTTAGCTCATATTAATATATTTAATGGGGTCTAAGACGCCATCACTGAGTCTAAGAAGCACCATCTTCTAATCACCACGGAAAAGAAGAAAGACTCAGGTGCCAGTGGCTCAGACCTGTAACCCCAGCTACTCAGAAGGCTGAGATCAAAGCCAGCCCAGGCAGGAAAGTCCAGGAGACTCTGACCTCCAATAAAACAAACAAAAACAAACAAAAAGCCAGGAGTGGCGCTGTGGCTCAAGTGGTAGAGCGCTAGCCTTGTGCAAATCTGGCTCAGTGACAGAGCCCAGGCCCTGAGTTCAAGCCCCAGGACCAGTATCAAAGAGAGAGAGAGAAGAGGGGGAGGGAGGGAGGGAGGAAGGGAGGAAGGAAAGGAGGGAGGGAGGGAGGGAAGGAAGGAAAAACCACCAATTAAGTGGTGATGTAAACCATCATCCAGCAACAGATACACCTTGATTTCAGAGACATACACATCTGCAGGGCGCCGGTGGCTCACACCTGTAATCTTAGCTCATCCAGGAGGCTGAAACTTGGAAAACCTTAATTCAAAGCCAACCTGGGCAGCCAAGTCTGCGAGACTCATTTCTCCAAGCCACCAGCAAAATGTCGGACAGGAGGCATGGCTCAAGTGGTAGAGCACCGGCCGGGAGCAAACAAGCCAGAAGGGCCCTTCTGTACGGACCTTCTCCCCGCTTCCAGGTGTCTTTCCCAGGAAGGTGTGGGGGGGGGGAGGTTGGTCTCTCACAGAAAGTTGTTGAAGTCATTCATTCCCAGCTTTCTTCCCCGCCCCCCTTCCCCCCTCCCAGCCTCAGGGCCAGAGATAAAAGGGGGGGGCTCACCTCAGCCAGGGTGCTATCTGCGCAGGCTTTCCTGGCTTCCTGGGGGGGGAAGCAGCCTTCAGGGGTGGGGGGTACAGTAGTGGGGGGGGATGCTTGTGTCTCAAATCGGAGGCCAAATTCCCCAGGCGCTTGGAGGTGGGGGAGAGGGAGGAGGGGGTCTCTAAGGAATTACTGGAGCCCTCCCCCTCCCCCCCCACGCTGTCTCCCCTGAAGACTTCCAATCTGTTTCCTGGGGGGGGTGGAGGGGTCCCCATTGGGAGCTTGGGGGGGCGGTTACTGAGATCTGTTTCTTGAGCTGTTCGGCTTCCTGCCTCAGTTGCTCCATCTCCCCCATGGCGGACGGGTCCAGGGGTGCCTTGCACTCCTGCCAGAACACACACGGGGCGGGGGAAACAGAGCCCTTCATGTAGCAATCCCTTTTCTTTGCTTGGGTGCCCGTCCTGAGGTTTGAACTCAGGGCCGGAACACTGCTCCTGAGCTTTTTCTGTCCAAGGCTGGCGTTCTACCACTGGAGCCATAGCTCTATGTTTTCTGGGGGGCGAGGGGGGGCGGCTCTTTGGAGATAAGAGCCTCACAGACTTTCCTCCCCAAGCTGGCCTCCAAGTTCAATCCTCCAGTCTCAGCCTCCCGAGTTTGCTGGGATGACAGGCAGGACCCCCCAGAGTTGGGGGAATTATCTTACCAGCCACATTTCTACAGTCTTGGGGGGCTCCTTCACCCCTCCCTGCTCCTGGACACAGTCCCAAGCACCCAGCTCTAAGCCCTCCCCGCAGCCCTGCCACCCCAGGGCAGAGCTGGGGCAGGGGCGGGGAGACCCAGCTCCCACTTACTTGGGTTCTAGCTGGATGTCTCCCCGATTTCCAGCTCCGATTCCTCAGTGTCTCTTTGCAGCGGCAGCTGGGAGGCCGCCGAGGTCCCCGCCTGGCCTGGGGAGGGAGCACCCCAATAACCACACCCCACGTTAAGCAAATGAAATCAGCCAGCAGGGGTGGGGAGGGGAGGGCAGCAGGAGAGGGGGGGAAGGGGGGGTGGGCTGGAAGGGGGAGGGGGAGAGCCCTCTACAATTGGCAGAGATCAGAGCATCAAACTAAGCCGTGAGGATTACAGCCTGGGGTTGGGGTGTGTATGGGGGGGCAGCAGAGAGGCACAGGCCTCCCCCTCCCTCGCGACCCCCTCCCCCTCTCCCCTGCCACCTTGGTCCTCACTCTGGTCATGAATTTGGCTTTCAGGGCTTGCTCAGGAATCAGGGAGGTGGTAGTGATAGGTGAATGGGGTCTGCACCCCAAATTGTGACACACACCCCCCTCCATGATGGAGGGGAAAGAAGGCCTAGAAATCCAGGAGGGATTAGAAGAGACTGAATTGGATAATCCTTCTGGACAAACTCTAACCAGCTGCCCCCCTGGGCTTGATCCTGGGGTGTTGGGGGGGCTGGTGGTGGTAGGGAGGAGTAAAGGGGGGGCAGAGGGGAGGGGAGGAGGGGTGAGAGACACTGGTCACCTCCCCCAGCTTTGGAGAGAGAAAAGGATTACAAAGGAAACCCAGCAAAGCCTGGCTCCCAGGATTCACAGCGGGAACCCCAAAGGGTTCAAGGCTGCCCCTTCTAGCCAAAGTCAGCAGAGGGGAGATGGACAGAAAGGAGGCCCAGGGAGCCATTGTGAGGGGGGGGGGAGAGATCCATCCATCCATTTGCATGCGGGAGCAGGTGCTTGAGATTTCCCTGACAAATCACAGACTCCAGTGACACTTCCCGCCCCTGGTGGCGACACCGAAGGACACCTGTCCCCTCCCGGGTGAGCCACAGAAAGCACAGACACACCAGAGTGAGGCTGTTCAGGTCTTTAGTGCAGAGATTGGCAGAGCGAATAAAAATGATTTGTCGTGTGCAGGTGCTGGGATTTGAACTCAGGGCCTGGACGCTGAACACTTGAACCACACCACAACTCTACTCCCGTGGTGTGCTTAGTGCAGACAAGAGTCTCACAGACTGGGCCTCCGGCTGTGATCCTCAGATCTCAGCCTCCTGAGTAGCTGGGATGACAGCCACCAGCACCAGGCTAAAAGTTCACGCCATCGGCCTCTTTCCCCCCCTCCTCTCCTTTGTCATTTCTTCCCTAGGGAGGTGTCATGTCTGTCTGTCCAAGATCTGTCAGTCTGGGGGGGGGGCCGGGCCCCAGAAGCGCTGGGTGACATCCAAGCGGTGTTTGATGAGGGCAGATCTGAGAGATTCCCAAGATGGCGTCCTGCTGGATGCTTCTCATGGGTCCTTCTCCGGCTTGCGAGGCCCAGGACCCGTGCAGCTGGCTCGGCCACTCACAGCTCCTCTCGGGCCCTCCGTGGCTCCGCATTTGTTTCTTGCACACGTTGAAGTTTGTGGCTGGGGGGTTCTGGGAAAGGGTCTCTGCCTGGCGTTTCCTCCTCCTCCTCTTTCTCCTCCTCTTCCTCCTTTAGCTTCTGCAGCAATTCTTTGGCTTCTGTCCACTCCTGCGGGGTGAAGGAGAATCTGGCCCACGTGCCCACCCGGCTGAGGCGCCTGCCTGCCCCCATTCCCACCGTCCTCCCCTGCTCCTCCTCACCTGCTCCCGGTGCTCGGGGGCCCACGTGTGCCACAGCGCCAGGGCGCAGCGCCGACCGCGGGTCACGGCCCACACCCCGTGGGGATTGTCCCCGCCGGAGCTGAAGGCCACCAGGCGACCGCAGCGGGGGCGAACCTGAGCCTGGGAGTGGGCAAAGGCCACACTTACTCTTATTATTGGTGCCAGTCCTGGGGTTTGAACTCAGGGCCTGGGTGCCGTCCCTGAGCTTTTTTCCTTCAAGGCTGGAGATCTACCACTGGAACCACAGCGCCACTACTGGTTTTCTGGTGGTTCATTTGGAGATCAGAGTCTCCTGGACTTTCCTGCCTGGGCTGGCTTCGAACCCTGATCCTCAGATCTCAGCCTCCTGAGGAGCTGGGATGACAGGCGTGAGCCACCAGCACCCAGCTTCCTTCCCAACCTTCAATTCAGGAACATTCCTGAATTGTGTCATTCCTTTTGCCCATTTTTAGGCTGTGATGCATCTCTAGAAATTTCCATAAGACAGGAATAAACTTATTACTTATTAATACTCATGAATTATTGATTATGTATTAATATTACTTATTAATACTAGGCATCCAGATTGGAGGCCAGTCCATGAGACTCTTTTATTGGGTCAGTCGTGGGGCTTGAACTCTGGGCCTGGGCGCTGTCCCTGATCTTCTTTTGCTCAAGGCTGGCGCTCTAACACTTGAGCCACAACGCCACCTCTGGTTTTCTGGTGGTTCACTGGAGGTAAGAGTCTCACAGACTTTCTTTGCTCAGGCTGGCTTTGAACCATGATCCTAAGATCTTAGTCTTCGGAGTAGCTAGGATGACAGGCTGAGCCACTGGTGCCCAGCTACTAATATCCTGCTTTTTGATTGATGTTGAGATGGGGGGTTCACTTTGTAGCCCAGCAAGTAGCTGAGACTACAGGCCTCACCGCAGCACCTGCTGTACAGCCTCTCCTTTAGGAGATGAGCCAAACCCAATCCGCCACGGCAGGGTCTGCGGGGAGGAATTTAGACATCTCCCAGGGGGCTAGAAAATGTCTGCCAGCTGGGCACCGGTGGCTCACACCTGTCATCCCAGCTACTCAGGAGGCTGAGATCTGAGGATCGCGATTCAAAGCCAGCCTGGGCAGGAAAATCCATGAGACTCTGATCTCCAATAAACTACTCAAAATCAGAAGTGGCGCTGTGGCTCAAGGGGTAGAGCACCCGCCTTAAGCTGAAGAGCTGAGGGACAGCGCCCAGGCCCCGAGTTCAAGCTCCATGACCAACACAAGAAAGAAAATGTCTGCCAACAGCCAGCAGACCAGGACATGTAGAGAGGCAGGAGGAAAGGGGTTAAGATGACCCAAGCTATTTTCCTGCATTTGCCTCTGGAAATCTGCTTTGAATCCTGAGCTCAGCACTGAGCCCTCTTGTCATCCCTCCAACCACCCCTACACCCCCCACCACAGCCCCACCCCCTCAACACCCACACCCCAACCCCCCTACCGTGACAGTGAGCGCGTTGGGCTGCGTGAAGAACAGGTCCCCCCCTTTAAAGTCATCGTTGAGGTAGAGAAGGCCACTGCGGAGAAAACAGGCAGCCATGAGCCAGGCACTGGTGCACACGCCTGTAATCCCAGCTACACAGAAGACTGAGATCTGAGGACCCAGGCTCAAAGCCAGCCTGGGTGGGAAACTCTGCCAGACTGGGACTCTGATCTCCAAGGAACCACCAAAAAGCCGGAAGTGGCGCTGTGGCTCAAGCGGCAGAGCGCTAGCCTTGAGCAAAAGAAGCTCAGGGACAGCACCCAGGCCCTGAGTTCAAGCCCCAGGACCAGCACCAAAATAATAATAATAATACTGATAGTAATAGCAGCAGCAATGAGATCCTGTGCCCTTCCTATCCACTGTCAGACCCGGCAGGGCACCACCCACCTGTAGTCTCGGTAGGTGTAGGCTGGGGGCTCTGGCCAGCACTCCCCGGTGTCGGGGTCCAGGACACAGTTGTCTGCGTGGACAGGGTGGCTCAGATCCATGCGCTGATCTTGCTCCCCTAGGACGCAATGGGGTGGGGTGACGTTCTATGTGTTTCCCCCTCGTCCCCTCCAGCTCCTGGGGTCTCCTTTGGGCAGGACAGGCAGTGTGGAGACTCGCAAAGACTTGGGGGGCCGGGATCGGGGCGGCGGGGGTCCCATTACCTTCGACGGCACTGCGGCACACCAGGTGGGTGAAGGAGAGGTGCAAGGGTCGCTCTGGGGAGAAGTAGGCCTGCGTCACCTTCCTCACGCGCTCACCCGCTTCTAGAAGGAGCCTTACGCCCTGGCTTCCCACACTCCCCGCCCTGGCCAGCTGGGGAAAGAAGGCAGACACTGGAAGGGGGGTCCCAGCCTCTATTTTGTCTGCTGTCTCCACTGCCTTCCACCCTTTGTGTGTGCCGGTACTGGGGCTTGAACTCAGGGCCTCAGCGCTGTCCCTCAGCTCTTCAGCTCGAGGCTGGCGCTCTACCACTTGAGCCACAGTGCCACTTCTAGTTTTCTGTGGATTCACTGGAGATCAGTCTCATGGGCTTTCCTGCCTGGGCTGGCTTTGAACTGGGATCCTCAGATCTCAGCCTCCTGAGTAGCTGGGATGACAGGTGTGCGCTACCACACCCGGCTACCTGATCTCCCCCCCATCAACCCAGCTGTCCTTTCCATCCAGTAGGTCTGTGACAATATCTAGGGCTCCAGATCAGGGTCACCCCCTTCCCCAACCCAAGGATGGGACCCCAGTATCCTCAGTCCTGGGAAAATTCCTCCACAGACCCCTGGGCCCACTCTCCCCTCCACCCCCAGGCCAAGCCAAGGGGGGGGCGCCTCGTCTCACCTGGGCCGCCTTCAGCACCGTGAGCCCCTCGAAATACTCATGGGGGGTGTGGGGGGACCGGCGACCACGGTAGCCAGACCTGGCTCCAGCCCCAGCCGCGTCCTAAACAGAGAGGAAGTTCACCCTAGGGGTACTTGGCCAGCCCACCTCACTCCCCACAAGGCTGGGAGACACTCCCTCCCCCCACCCCCCGATGATGCTGGAAGCTTTTTTTGGTCGATTATGGGGCTTGAACTCTGGGCCTGAGCCCAGAGCTGTCCCTCAGCTCTTCAGCTCAAGGCTGGTGCTCTACCACTTGAGCCGCAGCGCCACTCCCGGTTTTCTGGTGGTTTCTCGGCAATAAGAGTCTCACAGATGTTCCTGCCCGAGCTGGCTTTGAACCGTGATCCTCAGATCTCAGCCTCCTGAGGAGCTGGGATTGCAGGCGGGAGCCACTGGTGCCCAGCTAAACATTTGTATTAGCATATATAGCTACGCAAGGGGAGGGTTGATTTTTTGTTGTCGGTCCTGGGGCTTGAATTCTGGGCCTGCCGCCGTCCCTGAGCTATAGTGGAGCGACGGGGCCCTAAGTCAGGGAAGAGTTCACTTCTTTTTGGACAACGTCCCCTCCTTCCTTCGCTCTCTTCCTAGTGAATTTTTCCAGACAGCCACTAGAGGGCGCTCCAGGCCCCAGCAGACATGGAGGACGGGGCCTTCCACTAGGCTTTCTGTCTTCCCTCTTCTCTCTCTCTAGTATTATACATAACATTTACAATATACATATTATGCATACACGATATAATATATAGTACTAGTATTATATGCTTATATAGTATTATACACTAGTATATATTATGTGCTATATAATATATATGTATGCATATATATAATACATATTATATATGTAATATAATGTAATGTACTATGTATGTACATATACACATATAACATGTAATATATACTAGTGTATACATATATTACATGTTATATAATATGCATATAAAATGTCATGTTATATGCATATATTATTACATATTATATTATGTACAGTATATACTATATGCTGTATATAGTATGTTATATATCATATACACTAGTGCATATAATACTAGTATATGGTGTATAGTATATATACATAACACGTTGTATTTATATAATACATATTATGTATATTACATAATATGCACATAATGTATATTTTATATATTGTGTATTATACATTACGTGCATATATATAAAACACATACTATGTGATTTAAACATGTAATTTCATATATAATATGAATATATGTATAATTATCGATACTAAATATTAATATGATGTATATTACATTCATCACATACAGTATACAATTAGCTCAATATACTATATAATGTATATGTCATTCTATCTCGAGAATATATGATGATGTACATCATTTTTTCCCTTCCTCTTTAAAGTCTGCGGCGGCATCTGCCGAAGCCAGCAGGCTGCTCAGATCCGTCTCCTGAGAAGCTGGTATTACAGGCATGAGCCACCAAGGCCCGGCGCTGTTGGCTGTGTGGGGACGCGGGTCTCTCTGTGGCCAATGCTGCCCTCGGCCTCCTAGGTAGCTGGGATTAGAGCAACGTCCGACACACCCCGCAGCACCCTGGGCCGGGCCGCAGCACCCCGGGATGAGCCGCAGCACCCCGGGATGAGCCGCAGCACCCCGGGATGAGCCGCAGCACCCCGGGATGAGCCGCAGCACCCCGGGCCGGGCCGCAGCACCCCGGG